TCAGCTTGGGAGCTCTCGGCGACGCCCAATGCGTGCGCCGGTAGGGGGGAGTGTGTGCGCGCGTGTGTGAGATGAGGATTGTGGCAGGCTGGCTGCTGCTGATGTGGGCAAGTGTGCTCTGTGTGTGGCGCTGCGCTGGCGTGCGACGCGCGCGTGCTGTGCGCGTGTGCGTGTTGGATGCGCGTGCGCGTCTGCGTGTGCTGCGCGCGCGCCGCCGGTGTGTGCTGTGTGCTGTACTCTGTTGTGCGCCTGTTTGTGCAGCTGAGGAGGCGCAGGCTTGGCTGGCAGGGCTGCGCGGTGGGCTGCGGCGCGCTGCGGGTGTTCGTGCGCCTGCCTGGTGATGTGCGGCGGCCGCGCAGCCCGCCCGACCGGGTCGTCGGCGGCCCAGGGCGCGGGCATGCGGTCTGCGCTGCATGTGAGGCTGCTGCCGCGGCTGGCGCGTATGTTTCCGTGCGGTGAGGGACGCGCGTATGTGTTCACGCTGCGGGCGCGGGCGGGCGCGGGGGGCGGCGTGGTCTCACCGCGGTCCGACGTCGGTTGGTCTTCGGCGTGGCGAGGGCGGGCGCGCAAAGAGGCCTTGCCGCCATCGCGTTGCCGCGAAGGAAAAAGAATTCCCGGAGATGAATGAAGGTAAGGTGCGCGGCGGGGGTGATTCGTGCCGTCAGCGGCCCAGAGACAAACATTGGTATGGTTTAAATGCTACTGGGTAGCCATCCAAGCCTCCAGCACATGGGCATCTAAAGGCCACAACTATCTTGACGTCCGGATAAAAGGTGTAAGATTTGTGTACGTAGCGTGGATGAGATACTAAGTGCAGACAGTGGGAGATTGTTTGTGCGGGGTGATCTCACGAAGCGATGTGTGACTGTTCTTACCCTGCTCACTGCCGCTCCACACAAAGGTCCTCACTCCCGTTTGTGCCCATTTTCGGTCATCCGTCAAAATATCTGAAGATCTGTCTATAGGATTCTCCCCAAACCTTAGTCAGCGCTGATCCAGCACGGGTCGTAGGCCAGGCCTGGGCAAAGAAACCAGTACCTCATCGGGCTTCCCTGAGCGTCACAGCTCGGTGATCGCGCCGGCCGGACACCACTGTAACGTCCGTTCCGGCCCAGCTCACCCCCAGAGAGGCCATGGCCAGGGTCAGGCATAAAAGGGGGGTGTTTTTCCGTCCGTCCGATGCGTAGCTCGGTATTCTATACCAAATCTTTCTGCCTCGGGCCGACCTTCACAGATCACAGATCACTCAGACACCGGACCTCCGGAGGTCCTCCAGGAGGTCCTCACCCGCGCCGGAGGTCCTCATGGGCGCACACAAAATTCGGCAACTTGATGGCATGGCAGAATTACACAGGGGCGAAGGTCTCTCCCGTAGTTTATACTCTATTCTTACACCGTTTGTGCCTTCTCTCGGCGAGTCGCGCGACTGTGATGGTTGCGAGCGGAGGCTCAAGGTCGATTCAGAAGAGTCTTTCGTAAGTTGTGCGATTGGCATCCAAATGTTGTGCGCACTTATACGGCTTCTCGCCCGTGTGTGAATGCGCTTTGCGCTGTGTTGAAGAGAATCGTATTATTAAACAAACAAAGAAAGAAAGAAATCAGACAACCCAAGGGAGGGATGGGAGGACGGCACGCCGCCACCACACAGGGATTTTAAGGAGAGGGGTGTGGTGCGCTAGCCGTCGCCCACCCTTGGGCGTCCGCCTCTTCCTATCTCTCTTCGCAGTCTCTCGCCGATTCTCGCTGCAACCTTCATGCCACCTCGCGGTCGTCCCACTCTCGTCGTTCTTTCACTTTCCCTTGTCGCTTCTTCTTGTGTGAGTGAGTATTCTTGATACGAAACCACGACGACACACACCAGTCGACTCGCATCGGTTGCCTCCATGAACGCTCGGCGGAGCTATTCTCGCGCCCACACCACACCTGGCTCCAACGTGGACACGCCCATAGCTGGGGACACTACTAGGTCACGCATGGCATCACGCCCCCCACAGCAAATCGGTTTTTGCCCTTAAATAGTGCGATTTCCCACCACTGCCAAGCGAAAAATAGGCCATCAAAAATCGCCAAAAATCGCACTAATCTCGACGCGCGTTTAGGTTAAGGGCAACTCCGTGCACTGACGGTCGGCCGTCAGAAAACACGCCTCCGTGGCTCGGGTTACACCAATCCTCGCTACCCAACGCGGCCAAAGGATATCCACCTCGAGAACCTCGAGAAGGGCGCGTCGAGATCCAAAACTCGACGCGGCCAAGTCCAAGCCCGAATCTGGCCCAGGGCCCAAAACCTACCAAGGCAGGCGTCGGCTTTCGCCGCTTCCGTTTCCTTGAGCACCAGGATGACAGAACTGGCCGTTGTCAGACTAAGGACTATTGTGCGCCTCGCCGAGGCGCACAATAGTCCCCGCCAGCGCCACACGCGAGAGCATGTGTCCAATGTGCAACGCGGCGGCGCGATCAGTCACGGGACGACCGACGGAAGCCGGATAAAAACTCGTCTTGCAGAGCAGGTTTTCACCGATTTGCTGTGGGCGTTGGCTGAAAATAGTGCTCAAACCGATCAAGTTAAGCGAAAATTGGTCCAACGAAAACGGCACTAGTTAAGGGCAAAAACCGATTTGCTGTGGGGGGCGTCACAGAAGTTTTATCTCTGGGCCCCGAAAGGCATCTCTAGCAGTGTCGTTACACATGCCCCCTCCCCTCCTGGGCGCATGCGCCTCACGTCTCGCCAGAGCATAAGCCCTTGGCGTGTGACGAGACGAGTTCTTCGCCATCGCCGCGAGCAGCAAGCCGCCCGCCGCAAACAGCCGGAGGCCTCGCCGCGGCACTGGCTGCGCCGCGGTCCCGCACCCGTCGACGCAGCTCCCCCCGCGGAAGACCGCGCGTAGCGACGCCTTGACGATCGAGATGGGCGCGCCTGAAGCTCGCCCACCTACTGCCACACACACACACACACTCGCTTCTTCTTCTGTCGCGTCGCTCTCCTCTGCCTCGTTCTGCGACGACGCCGCCGCCTGCCGTTCCCTTGTTCTCACTGCTTCTTGCGCCTTTCGGCGCAGCTCCGCCCTCCTCGCTGCATATCCTGGCCCCTCGAGTCTATCGAGCTCTCCTCGAGCAAGGACGAGTCTTCGGACGCCCACTGCTATCATTTGCCACCCAGTCATATCATGTGCACGGGGTGGGGCGGGGTTGTGGGGTGGGGTGGGGATGTCGGGTTGGGGAGTGGGTGGGCGCCGGAGTGGGAGTGGTGTGACTGCTCCTGTGGTGCGGGCGACGGCTTCTGAGGAAGCCGTCGCCCGCGCCTCACCTGTCGCGTGAATCGTGTCGTGCCACGCGCAGGAAAAGGGCGCGGGCGAAGGAGGAGGAGCCAGAGCCCGGGGAGGATTGGGAGGGGGAGGAGCGGCCGGAGGAGTACGCCGGCCTCTTTGACGACCCGTAAGGGGCCGTCGCCTGCTGTGCCATTTGTAGTGCCAGTCCGAGCCAGTCTGCTGTGAGAGGGGCTTATATGGTAGAATTCTTTTGTGTTAGAGAGCTTGTTACTTAAGAATTCTTTTGTCGTCCGCGATGGCCGCGCGCTCCACCTCCTCCCTCCTCGAGCTGCGAGAGAACCCGTCGCGGTGGGTGTGGGCCGCCGCCGCGGCTCGCGTGCCACCGACGGCGGCCGCGCTCTCGCGGTGCGGCTTTCGGCGCGGCGTGTGGGCCGATGGCCTGCCCCGGGACGCGCCCAACCTGCTGCTGCTGCTGCACGGCCTCGGCGACGCGCCCGACATGTACGCTCGGTTCGGCGCAAAGCTCGCGCTCCCTCAGACCTCTGCGCTCGCGCTGGCGGCGCCGCTGCCGCTGCCGCTCGGCATCGAGGGTGGCGCCTGGTTCGAGAGCTTCGAGGCGGACGGCCGCCTGATCGACGGCGCGGACGCCGCCGACCAGCGCCGCCCGCTCTCGCTCGCCCGCGACGCGCGGCGACTCCCTCCACCGCCGCGTCGCGCCAGCCGTGAACACGGCGCCTCTCACCGTTCGAGCTGCGAGCAGGGCGCCGCTCCTGTCGGTGCTGCGGCTGCTCGTGCGCGAGTGCGGCTGGAGCCCGGAGCGGATCTTCCTCTTCGGGTACGCGCACGGCGGCACCGTCGCGCTCGATCTGCTGCAGCACCTCGACGGCCTCGCGGGCGGCGGGCCCTGCCGGCTCGGAGGCTGTGTCAGCTGGTGCGGGCTGCCGCTACCAGAGGCGCCCCCGCCGCCGGCCGGCGCCGTCGTCCGCACTCCCGTCCTCGCCGTCGTCGGTGAGCGGGACCCGCTGACGCCGTCCGCGAGGGAACTGCTCTCCCGGCTGACGTCGGGCGCGGCAGAGGTTGCGAGAAGCGGCGGCGGCGGCGGCGGCGCGGTGGCGAGCGGGGCGGCGGCGAGCAGGGCGGAGGGCGGCGGCGCGGCGGCGAGCGGGGCGGAGGAGGGGAGCGTGGCGGAGTGCACGCTCGAGGTTCTGCCCGGGCGAGGCGGAGGCATGGTCGGGTCCGCGAACGAGGTGGGCTCTTGTGACAGCCATTCTCACTGCCCTCTCCTGACTCTCCTCTCCTCTCCTCTCCACTCCACTCCACTCCTCTCCTCACCACACCACTCCAGTCCAAGCCCATCCTACCCTTCCCAACTCCTCACCATACCTCCCCCCCCACACCATCACTTTCCAACCTCACCTTATCTATACACCTCTCTTCACAACATCTCAACCCCACACTTCACAATACCTCCTAATCCAAACACTTACATATTAAACTCACTTCCCTAAACATAACACAACTCAACCACACAAACATATTTATCCGATCCATTCAAATCAAAAAACCCCAATTCATTTCACTTTAAAAAAATTTTAAATTCTTAATTCTATTTATTATCCCCCTTCTTTTCCCTCCCCCCCCCCCCGAAATTCTTTCACTCCCCTTCATTTCTAAACCCCCCTCCAATACATAACATCCAATCCCTTACTTAACTTAGTATACCCAACTTAATTTACTCAACTCACCTCTTTTAAAAACCTTAAAAACAACCCCCCCCCCCAACCCAACACCCACCCCCCCCACCACAACACCCCAACCCACAAAAACAACACCGCAAAAGAAAGCCAAACGCCAAAACGCAAAAACACTGCCGCAGATCAAGTTGGGCCGGCGGGCGAGTATGCCTCGCCGCTGGGGCTCGGCCCTTCGGCGGCGGGTCGGCGGGGCGTGGAGGGCGGCTCTTCACGGTGTGCGAGGGTGTGAACAGGCGGCGCTGCTGATGGCCTTCTTCGGGAAGCACCTCTCGCTCAACTCGGCGCTCGAGGACGACCCGTCGGTCATACGGGTGTCGTGAGCAATCAAGAGCGATGTAGGGGATGATGTTTGAAAGCAAAAAATGCCGTCTGGTTGTGCCGCCGGCGCCGCGCCGCCTTACCGCCGACCCCGTGCCGCGCCGCCTTCGTAACACACACACCCTTGCCACACCACCTCGCGTGTGTGTGGAGAAGTTTATACCTTACCTTACCTTACCTTACCTGACTTTTGTTCGCGCCCTTTCCATACTTGTTACTTCCTGCTTCGACGGGGCACGGGCGACGGGGTTTTGTGTTGCGATCGAGCGAGTGTAGTTGCGAAGGAGTGACCCGTGCCGCCGCTGTGCCGCCGTGTGCCCCGCAGTGGCCTCGCTGGGCCAGAATATCGGCCCGCGAGTGCCCGCAGCAGCCTCGTCAAGCCAGAAGTCCGGCTTGCGAGGTGGGTGCTAGTATGAGCCCGCTGAGGCGCAGTGCTCTTGCAGAGGCGGTTAGTGGTGCACCAACCCCGAGAAACCCTTCGGGTCACTCCTCATCGCAAACCCTGTCAGCAGTCCTCCTCCGGGAATGTACGTAAGAGCCACATACAACGAAAAACTGCTTGGCCGACCTTCACAGCGCACAGCTGACCCCCGGTGCCACTTGCGTGCGATTTCAGCAGTTGGATTCCAGATTCAGAGGGACGGCCGACGCGTTCGGCGGACATTGCACACTGTCGATGGGTCTCGACGGTCTGCCTCACGCGCTGAGCTGCCTACCGGACGACGACGTGTACGGCAAAAAGAAACAGCTCGCTCATAAAGGGAGCATTGGCGAGCTCGGCCACGAGATCCCTCCGCCCCACCAGGCGGCGGCTGGCACGAAGGCACCGCCAACGCCACTGCCAGCCTGACAGCGCCCACGCCGTTTCGACCACCACAAAGCGATATACAGTCCTGCTAGCCGCTCCTTCTGGCCCACGCCGTTTCGACCACCACACAGCGATATACAGTCCTGCTACGTCGCTCCTTCTGGCCTTATGCGCAGCCAGACCCCGCCCTACCCTGGCCGTGCACTCCATTCGCACCGCCACCCAAGGGTCGCTTACTGACGCCATCAGGAGCCCTCCTTCCTCTTCGCGCGCGGCCTCTTTGCCTCCTTTCTCTCGGCCGGAATCGGCGCGGCGGTCACCAATCCGCTCGAGCTGGTCAAGGTGCGCTGGCAGGTGACGCCCGAGAGCATGCGCACCGCGACCAACATGAGTGGCTTTGCGAGCGAGATCGTGGCCAAGGAGGGCGTGATGCGAGGTGGTGGATCCGCCGCCGACGCACTGAGCCCGCACAATCTCACAGGTTCTTGCCCTCTCTCAGGAATCATGCTGCCAGGCATATCGGTCAACTTCATGGCGATCGGCGTGTCGGCGATCGGGAGGGTAGGCCTCTACCCCACGGTGCGCGACGTCTTCGTTGGCGCCCGCGGTGGTGACGTCGCAAAGCCAACGCCGGGCGACATGTTCATCTCGGGGCTGCTCGCGGGTGCGATCGGCTACTTCATTGCCACGCCCGTCTTTGCGCAAAAGACAATCATCCAGGCCGAGGCGGGGCTCGTCGACCCAAAGTCGGGCCTGCTGACCACAGGCGCCAAGGCGGGCTCTGCACCTACCTCGCCCAACGGCTGGATTGCCGGTATGGCCGCCGTAGCAAAGAAGGACGGCATCGGCGGCTGGTTCAAGGGCTCGGGCCCGCTGGTGGTGCGCGGCGCGACGCTCTCTGCGGGCAATCAGCTTGGGTATGACGGCTTCAAGACGGCCACTTCGGGAGTCCTTCCCGAGGGCACTCGAGCCGCAGACCTCAGGTCGCACACGTCAAGTCGCGACACACGCCTGTGGCGCATCCGTAGGCCTCATGCAGCAGATCCTCGCCTCCATCATGGGCGCACTCGGGTCCACCGTGTGCGCGACCCCGGCGGATGTCGTCACCACGCGCTACCTGGCAGAGCCGGGCAAGTTCGCGTCGCCTATCGCGTGCGCCACTACGATCATGTCCCAGGAGGGTCTCGGGTTCCCCTTCCTGAAGGAGGCCGGCTTTTACCGCGGCTCAACGGCGCTCTTTGTGAAACTAGCCCCGCTGTACATGCTGTCGCTGCCCCTCAACGAGGGGCTCCGCTCAATGCTTGGGCTCAGCTCTTAGCAAGGTGAGTGAGGGAAGGCGGGATGCGAATGGTTGTCCGTCGACCAACGAGGGGGTGCTGTAGAATCAGGCTCCTGTGACCACTGAGTGTGTCGCGGAAGAAACATGTTAGCAAGCTCGCTGTACGCACACAGAGCGCGCATAATATCAAAAAAAAGCGGGTTAGAGGGCGCCCACATGCCTCTCTAAAGCGCCTCCAAAAGCCCGCCTCCGAGGGAATCCTCAGCTGCCGCCGAACGCCACCCGCCGCCGAGCGTTGGCCGGAGTATCACCGCCGCGGCGCGGCCACGGTCCGAGGAGCATGACCGAGGCGGAGCCGGCGAGGGGCCGCTTCAGGCTCGTCTCCTGTACGAGAATAAGCGAGATGGCGTCAGCCGCGGAGGTTAGCTCCAGTATGGCCGAGGTGCAGCGAAGTGTAGCCTGGAAGAACAGGATCCAGCGCACGCCTTCCCTCCGCCAGCGCTTCGCGGTGCCTGCCGAGTGCATGAGGAACTGCAGCTCGCGCATGAGCGCGCGTGCACCTGCGGTGTGAACGGCGACCCCATTAACTTTACAGTTGAATATGCCGCTACCCTGTCGTGTGCAAGGCCGAGCGCGCCGGCGGCGCGGCCGCAAGCCGGCGTCGTGCTGTGCCCTATTTACGTACACGCCGTGTAAAGCGTCGTTTCGTCGCCATGGGCCGCAGGACGGGCGTCGTGCGTTGGCCGTCGGCCCCACTGAGGCACTTTGCGCAGAGCGAGTGGCCGTCGGCTGCCAACGCGAGCGGCAATTCGTAGCCGGCAGCCTCCTATGGAGCCGAGATGAGCCGGGGTGGGTCTAGATTGGCCCAGGGTCGTGGCGAACAGGATAGACGGCAGTCGCCTGCTTGAGCAGCGTCACCTGGTTGGGCAGTCATTTGATCAACGGAGCAGTCCTGGGGTGGCGCAAAGAGAGGCGGTGCGCTTCTCCGTCTCAGAGGCTTCCCCACATGCTAGGGGGGGGGTCCCGACTCCCCCAGAGGCTTCACCACATGCTAGGGGGGGGGTGGGGCGTGCAGAGAAGCGCGCCCCCCTCCCTGGAAGCGATGTCCGCCTGCTCCAGCCCTGAGTCAGATTCTTAAAGTATCTACTCTGTTGATGACAACACTTGTCTACTCGCTGGACCTGGAGCCGAGGCACAACCCCTGGTCAACTCACCCTCCACACCCCGTAGATATTACGAACACCGGCTCAATGTGTAATCGATCATAGAGTATAGTCACAGTGCACCCACCTGTCGACGTGCCAAGACGGGTACACGACCGCGGCTCGTGTGCGTGTCGCCGTCTTTGTCCGGAGTGAAAAGTCCAACGCGCTCGTCGGTGACGGTGTCCTCCAACCTGCGCCGCGCTCGGCGAACCTCGACAGCGCCTTCGGTGGCATGCATCTCTTTGCGCCTGAAGCCTGGATACGGCTCTAGAGCCGTAAAGCCGTACACGGTACTACTTACTAGGACCATCGGGCATCGGCCATGGCCGCAGGGAGCGCGGGGAGGGCGCTGGGAGCAACACGGAGCTCCGTTGGAGACGTTTTCAAGATTAGCGTATGTCAGAGTGAATTGGAACTAGCCAATCGCCCTGAGCATGAGGGTTCGCACAGCGCCTCATCACAAGCTAGGGTCGGATAACCGCTTAACCGGCCGTCGCACTTCAAGCGCATCTCTTCTGCATGGGCAAGCTGCTCGCCCAGACAGAGGTTGAGGTCAGGAGAGATGTGTGCCCGGCCGCCGCGGTGCCGCTCGCGTTTAGACTCACGCCTTGTCCATCGCCCCCCCCCAATATAGGCCCAGCAGCAGGCTGACGAGGAGGATGTAGAGCGGGGGTAGCATCATGGCCATGCGCGTGTCAATCTTGCCGGACCGGGCGAGGAGCACCTACCGCGGTGAGGTGAGGCGAGGTGAACCCCTATGGGAGCCTCCTCCACTCTAGGTGTGTGGGGAGCAACGGGTTGTCCAAGCAGCCACCTTGTCCTCGGCGCGGATCCAGTCCGAGTCGCCCATCGACCCCTCCCCGTGCGGGTGGGTCGGCTTGGGGAGGGTGGACTGGTTCGCGTGGTGCATGAGCGCGGGCAGCGCCAGCACCGCCCGCGTGAGCAGCGAGACGGGCTCGGCCGGCTCGGCCGGCCGGCTTTGCGCGGACGCGTAGCCCTCGGCCTCTTTTCCTGCGCGCAGCGGCTCCCCGGTAGAGAGGCTCAGCGAGACGTCTGCGGCGGCCGGATGCGGCGCGCCGCCGGGCAGCTGCTCCTCGAGCGCCCGCTTGGCCGCGAAGGCCGCCTTCCACTCGCCGACGAGGGCGGCGCGGCGCGATGAGCAGAGCTCGTCGGTGCGGCGGCCCACGCCTAACAAGCACGCACTTTGTGCGTGAGAGAAGTGGAGGAGCGTGCGGGTGGCGGGGGAGGCGCTCGAGGCGATGCGGCGGGGGGGGCGGGCTGCTGCCAGCGGTGAGCACGATCTGGTAGCCCGTGACGACGAGCATCACGGCGACGACGGTGATGTGGCAGATGACGAGAGCCATGACAAAGGGCACACCCTCGATGTCGGCGGGCAGGCCGAGGCTTCGCGGCATCATCAGCGCCGCAGAGGCGACAGCGCCCAGCGCGAGGACCTGCAGCCGCGTCCCGGCAGGCTGCATCGCCGCGAGCGTGGTGATGCCCATCTGGACAAAGACGGGCACGAGGACCTTGAAGACGTTGCCGCTGGCCACCCGCTCCAGGCGGATCTCAAAGTCGGCGCACAGGTGCGAGAGTCCCTCCTTGCGGCAGTTGCCGCCCGGGCTGCCAGACGAGGACGGCCGGATCACGGCCGAGCGCGGGGTCCAGCCGGACTTGGTGTAGATGCCCTCTAGGCCGTCGCCGTGCAGCCCCGAGAGGGAGAAGCCCGGCGAGTCAAAGCTGATCGAGGTGCGGCTCACCTTGTCGGGGCCGTCAAACTTTTCCGCGAGGAAGAAGGAGCCCGTCAAAGTCTGCGTGTCGAAGGGGTAGCCTGCGGGGGCGGGAGTGCGAGGATGTGCGGTGAGGCGCAGCGGCGGCGGCGGCGGCGGGATGCTCACGGTTGAGATTGAAGTCCGACTTGAATGTCATCTCGAGCAGTACGTCCTCCTGTAGGTAGACCTGCGCCCGCCACGCGCACGACTCCGACGTGCAGGGCTGCTTGACGGGCTCCGGCTCGTGAGTCGCGTTCCCCGGCGTCCGCTGCACCTGCAGCATCGGGTTGCCGGAGAAAAAGCGCTCCTCGCTGGAGATGGCACCGTCGGCCTCGACAATCGGTCTCCACCAGTCCTTGGCCGGGATGTTCGCCCGCCCGGCGACGACGCCGCGGTACAGATCGATGCCGCACGGGTGGACGGCGTATTTGCTGGTCCAGGTCGCGGTGACCTCGACGACGACGGTGAACTCTGCGGGAGAGACCGCCTTGACCTTGTTGACCTGTGGAGTTGTGAGAGCGGTGGGGAGGTGTGAGGATGGGGGGAGCGGGGCGAGGGTTGGGTGTGGATAGCACCTTCAGCTTCGAGATGTGGATGACTAAATCTTCCTCCTCTGCCTCGGCCCCGGGCACACCGCAAGGGAGCTGCTGCCCGTCATCGTCCACCGAACACGGCAAGTGCGGCCCGTTGATCGCAGTCGAGTAAACCATTTCTATCCGGCCCGCACCCATTGGTGGGTACTGGCGGGGTGGGACGGGGAAGAAATCTTCCTCCTGTGGGACTGCGAGAAGGGACGTGGCGTCGGTGTACCGGAGGTCGGCGAGGAATACGGCGGAGTACGCGTTGATGCAGTTCCCGGTTTCAGTCGTGCAGTCCCCGGGCCACTGACACACCTCGAAGGAGTAGTCATAAGACTCACCGCGGTCGTTGGTACGCGCCGCGACTTCACGGATGTAGCCGGCGGCTTGGCTCTCATTTACGGTCCAGCGGCAATTCGAAAACATCTGGTCGGCCATGTGGTAGTAAGCACCGTACTGGGCGTATGCCCCGAGCACCCCTGTGCTGTTGCAAGGCCCCCCTGAGTACTTTGGTGGCCATGAAACATTCGGCCATTCGGCCACCTCTCTGGTCCAACTGTTTCGAGAACCGCGGCCGCACCCACCGTCGATGCCGTTGTACACGCAGAACGGGTTCCAACTATCAGCACGTGTGAGGCTATCTTCCCGAACGAACGTGTATCGGGCGTCGGTACTGTCCGAGTGGACGTGGTCGAACGGCGACCCCTTCTCGCCCCACGACTTGAGCGGAAAGTAGCAGGTATCGGGCTCGCCCATCTCCAGCTTGCAGGCGCGCGACATCAGCACCATCGAGTGGAGTCCGTACAGGCTGTTCCCCGGTCCAAACCACTCAAAGGTGTTGAGTTGGGCTCGAGCCGGCTTTGGCGTCAATGGGTGGTAAGGCTGCATCAGCCAGGCCGCGGGCGAGAAGGAGACGATGTCCGTCGTTGGCGAGAAGCGCTCAGGATAGATGGCGGTTTCTGGAGCTTCCGGGTATCCTTGCGCATGGACGCTGGCGGCCGAGAGCAGCGAAAGAAGGCAAAAGCGCATGCTGCTCGCCCGAGCACGAGAGCGCGTCGAGCAGGTCGACGGCGGCCTGCTTCTCGCGCTGCTGCTCCTCGGCGTTGGACTTGACCGGTCAGCAGCTTCCACCTCCACGGCGTACGCGAGCGCAGCCGACATAAAACGCCGAGGAGAAAAGATTTAGCGGCGCTACTCGAGTAGCTCCCCGGCCCTGGATGTGGGGTTACTGACTGCACTCCAAGTGCTCCAAGTGCTCCGACCGCCCGACTCGGGCGGCCCCATACCAGGCGGTGCGGCCGCCAGTGCCGCCACTGTTTCCGCCACCCACACTGCCACTTCCGCCCCCGCTGCTGGAACGGCTGCAGGGTCGTGGCCAGGGGCCGCCCCAGCGACTCCACACCAGGCGTTTTGGCCGCGAGGGCCGCCACCGTGCCCGCCACCCCTGCCTCCGCCTCTACCCCCGCCGCCGGCGGGGCTGCCACCGTATGGACCCGCTCGGAATAACCTGGGGGATCCAGAGCCGCCCCGCCGGAGGCTGGAGTACCCTCCGTGCACCTGCGGGTTGCAGTATTCGGCGCGACGCCAAGTCACACCGCAAACGAAAAAAAAACTCGCGATTCAAACAAATAATCGATGTGTTACCTGGAGTGTGTATAATGTGCAGTCATTAAATCGGAGAGTTGTGTGCAAGTAGGTTTGCGCATCGCGGCTTCTACCACGACGCGATCTTTGTCAACTTCAACCTGCTGCTCCACGAGACGTTCGGCGGCGGCTTCTCGCCCACACCGCCGTTCTCAAGCTGCGCCGCCTCGCGCGCAAAGTCGCGCGCGGCAGCGTTGACCGCACGGCCTACTCGCCCAAGTACTCGCTCTCTTTTATGTCCCACCACAGAGCGCATCTCTCTCTCTGTTGTGCGAGGCGTGAACCGCGCCATTCGCTCTCACCTGGCAACCCTGTCTGCACGTCTCGCGCGCGCGTGAACAGGGCTCCAGGCCCCAAATTACGTGTGAGTGTTAGAGTTGTTTGGTATTGCTAAAAATCTAATCACGGTTTGCAGAGCGAGCTGGGCGCGTCTTTGCATACATACCTAACCAAACTCAAAACAACAAACTCCAAACTCTCACTCCTGGAGCACCTGGAGGAGGTGGCTAAGCGTCTTGTGCGCTCGAGCCTATAAAAAAGCACCGGTATGTCCTGCGCTGCAGCACCTGGTGGGAAGCGTAGAATTCTTTTTTCAGGTGTGCCGGTGATAGTACTAGCACGCGCCAGTTCGCACCTGTGTCGAGCCTGTCTGCTGTGGGAGAGAGTTGTTTTGTATTGTGTGTGCGTGTGCGCATGTGGCGTGTGTGTCTCGTGTGTGCGTGTGAGTGTGCGAGAGAGAGAGAGAGAGAGAGAGAGAGAGAGAGAGAGAGAGAGAGAGAGAGAGAGAGAGAGAGAGAGAGAGAGAGAGAGAGAGAGAGAGAGAGAGAGAGAGAGAGAGAGGGAGGGAGGGAGAGGGAGAGAGATTTTCGTGTGCGTGCGCGTGTCGGCGGGGTGACGCCCTGCCCAAACAAACGAGCCACGCGCACAAGACACAAAACTCCCCGTGTCGTGTGTGTGCGAATGAGTGAGTATTCTTGATACGGAACCACGACGACACACAAGAGTCGACTCGCATCGGTTGCCTCGACGGAAAAGCTATTTTCGCGTCGCTCACACACTCACAACCCCGTATGTATGAAGTAGATCTAGGAAGGTGAAGAACAGTCAGGCTCGGACTGGACACCAACGCGGTATGGGTGGACGCTACTGTGCTGTATGAATGGTTGGGCAGGTGTGAACAACACCTCGTGACCACGGCGCCACAGGCGCCTGTTGATGGGTCCAGGTGATAGCCCTGAATGGGCAATGCATACGCCTACTTGGGCCTCAGATCGCCCGACCGCGTCCCGGTGCTCTGTGGTCGGATTTGTGACGCCGCCGCACCGCGCCGCGGCCGGGGGCCCTCCGGAGGCCGAGGATGGCCGTGACGGACCGGGACAAGCTCTGGGAGGTTCAGTGTCAGTGTGTACATTGTAGGGGCTACCCATGTGCACAATATCTTGACTGAGAGCTAAGCCAGGGGAGGCGATGCCGGGGCCGTACAGCAGCTTGATGGTGCTTCGCCGGCGTGCGTCCCGGAGCGGTGCCGGACGGGCGGTCCGTGAGAGGAAATCCAGGGACAACGCCGACGGCGCCCTGATTCGACTTTTAACTTCAAACAAAGACAGTCGCACGCGCCGCAGTGCGGTGCGTGCGACTGTCAGGAGCGGATCCGTCAGTTAGTCGTGTTCACGCCGGGATCGTGTCCCTCACTACTTGCCCAACCATTCGTACAGGAGAGTAGACAGATGATGACGACACGCACGAGCGACACACAGACACAAACAAGCTCACAAGACACACAGCCAGCGGGCTGCCACACATCCTGAGTGGGCGTAACCCCGTATTCGAAAAAAGAAAAGACCCTCCCGCCAAACGATGGCGTCTCACAACGGACTTCAGTGCTGGATGTGCCTTGGCGGGGCGACGCACGCCTGCCCGCGCTGCGACGTCGCATACGGGACCGCCGTCTGCCTGACGTGCTTTGAGAAGGCGGCCCGCCAGGCCGACACGAAGCGCAAGCTTGGCCGCCTACGGCACGACGCGCTCGACTGGACCGGCGCGCCGCGAGGAGAGCGGCCGCTGCGGCCGGTCGACATGGCGACGACGCCAGCTTCGCCGTGCCAGTGCTGCACGCGCGAGTGCCTGCAGCCGCAGCTGGTGCTGCTTCCGGCGCCCGCGCCGCCGCTCGCTGCAGGCCCCGGCGGCCAGCAGGCACCGCCGGTGCCGGTGCGGGTGCCCAAACCACACCGCAGATTCTGAGTCGCGCGCGGCTGTCTCTCTCTCACGCTCTTCGCCCTTCGCCCGCCAGGTGCCGGCTGTGGAGGCGGCGGCGGCGACGGCCGCGCCAGCGACGCCGGTCGAGCTCGCGCCGCTGCCTGCGGAGGCTGCCTCGCCGCCGGCAGGCGGTGCGGCGGCGCCCTCTGCGGGCAGTGCGTCATGGCTCACGTTCCTCGGGACGGCCAGCGCGTGGGTTGGGGGGGCCGTGCTCGAGGCAGCGGCGGAGGGCTTCCGCCGAGCTAAGCGGCAACGCTGCGAGGGCGGCCACACGCAGGCAGCGGGGGGGGTGGAGGAGGAGGCGCCGCGTGTCGGCGCGAGCGAGCGGGCGCGCCTCGGCGGCCCCTCCGCCGACGAGGCGGGCGGCGGTGGCGCGCCGCCGGCCACGCCGGCCGCGCAGGCCGCCGTACGTACCATCACCGCTGAGGGCGCCGAGGCGGTCCGGCAGGCGGACAGGGAGGGGCTTACGCTAGCCACGGGCGGGAGCAACAGCGGCTACAAGGGCGTGACCTTCTGCCCGAAGCAGAAAAGCAGCAAGAAGTACAAGCTGACGGTGACGAGTGGCGGCAAGAGTGACTACCTCGGCATGTTCGCCACCGCCGAGCAGGCGGCGCTCTTCCTCGCCCGCTGGGAGGCGGGCAGGGACACCAGCGATCTCACCGCGCCGCCGCCACCGCCGCCGCCGCCCGCACCATCCTCTCCCGCTGGCGCCGAGGCAGTCCGGCAGGCGGAGAGGGAGGGCCTGACTCTGGCCACCAGCAGCGGCAGCAGCAGCGGCTACAAGGGCGTGTACTACTGCCCGAAGCATAAAAGCGGCAAGAAGTACAAGCTGACGGTGACGAGTGGCGGCAAGAGTGACTACCTCGGCCTCTTCGCCACCGCCGAGCAGGCGGCGCTCTTCTACGCCCGCTGGGAGGCGGGCAGGGACACCAGCGATCTCACCGCGCCGCCGCCACCGCCTGCATAAGCAAAGCCTCGATCGAACGTACTGCGAGGTCGGGGCTATCTATCCCGAGTTCGTTGAGCAGGTGCGCTCACTTATGTGTTATGCTCACCTTTTCTACGGCTCTAGCCATGGGACCTCTCTCGCGCCAAGCAAATTTCCTATACGACAAAAAACCTAACGAACGTCGCCGGCGGCCGTCAACCGCCCCGACGCTCTCCCGGCCGCCCCTCCCCGAACCTCGCCCTCGGAAGAGTTAGAGTCGTCGGCCAGGGAGGCCGGAGCCCGGAGCGGACAGGCGGACTCCCGCAGGGCACCTTCGGGTGGATCTCAGTAGATCCGGCAGGCACCCCGAGCTCGCGACGCCCTTCACGACTGGAAGGGCCAAGGAGCGCACGTGCTTCGATCGCAGGGGGCACCATGGAGGGTGCACCTGTGCCACGGAGGCACTCCGGGCGGCGTATGCAATGTGGGGGGAGCGGGAGGGCCGGGGGGATGCTGCCTCGGCGCGCGCTGCCGCGACGCGGCACGGAGTCGACCAGGCCACGCCGGCGAGGGAGATGCGCTCCAGCGAGGGTCGCGTCCTTGAAACCGCCGACGCGTTCCTGGACGACAAGGCTGATCGACTCTGGAGGACACGGTCGGCGGCGCTTCGCGAGCTGGCACAGAAGGTTCGGGACGGCACGGATCTTGTGCTCCTATGCGCGGGTAGGATTGAGTCCTGCCACGGCGATCTGCTGAGGAAGGGGATCCTAGCCGAAGCGGCGCAGCTCGCTCGAGGCCACCAGCAAGAAGAAGCTGCGCTCCGACAAGGGCAAACCGAGGGGTCCTCGGGGGCCCAGGGCCGACTCGGTGGAGACGGCGGCCCGCATGGGGGTGCTGTCGACCTTCTACCTCCGGCACGCTTATGGACGGGACAGCCCGGGGCTGCATGAAAGGGGTGCTCTCGCGAATGGTGGGAGACTATAGTCGAGCGCGTCGGAGAGGTGTTTCGACACCGAGTGTTGGTGCTGTGTGCGGGGTGCGGAGGCGCCTCGCTGCTCGTCAAGATGAGCGGCAAAAGCCGACGGTGGTGCGACGAGACGGTTGTCTCCTCCTCGCGTGAGCCGATGCACGCGCCGCTTCACTGCTGGGAGACCGCCGCGCAAGCCCTCGGCTGTCCGCTGACGCTGAGGCGTGTGCACAATTCAACATAGCATGATGCGCCTCGCGTTCAAGCTGCTCTCTCCCTGTTCGCTCGTCCGCTTCACCTCGTCTCGCGTCTCGACCACTCGCCACGCCCGGCGTGCTCCTCCTCGCGCCACACCCTCCCCTCCGCCCTGCGCCCGCCGCCGCCGCCCGCAGGCCGCCGACGTCGCGGTGGGTGATGCGGCTCACGCCGGCCGAGTGGGCCTTCAGCCTGGTCGAGCACGTGCACGAGGCGCCTCGGCTGCCGGACGGCGCCGCCCGCGCGCGCGGCTTTGACGCCGCCGACTGGTCTGCCATCCGCGTGCCTTGCTCGTGGGAGACGGCCGGGTTTGGCCGCCCAATCTACACAAACACGGTGTACCCCTTCCCGGTGGGGGCCGTCTCAGCGCCGCACGCCGGTGTGTGGAGCAGACGCCGTTCGCACACCTCGAGCTGTGCGCAGGTGGACCCTCCCAACGTGCCTGCCGAGGGGAACGCCGTCGGCACGCAGCCCCGTCCCCCACCACCCTTTGCCCTTCAGCTTCATGTCAACCACCGAATGGGCCGTGCGTCGACGGCGTAGGCACTTACCAGACAAGCTTCTCCCTTCCGGGCGCCTGGGCGGGTCGGCGGACGCTGCTCCGGTTCGACGGCGTCGACGGCGACTCGAGCGGCGACGCGAGGCTCGGTGACGGTCAGCACTGCTTCTTCACGGCCGCCGGTGTGAGCAGGCGCGGTGACGGTGTGGCTCAACGGGCGAGAGGTGGGCTACTCTCAGGACGGTGGCCAGTGCCTCGGCTTCGCTCACTGCCGCGAGCTGCGGGCGGCACCACCTCACACGTGCGGCTGTGAGCAGGCAAGCTGCCCTTTGAGTTTGACGAAATCCAAGACCAGATGCTCCGCCACCATCCCAGCGAGACGACACGGCCACGGGATCCGTATTCCAGCAGCATTCTGCCGCCCTCCCGCCGCCAGCAAGGGAGTGTGCGACCGCCCGCGAGACGCACCGAGTGCTCCCACTGCAGGTCACCGACGCGTGCGCCGCCGGCGAGGCGGGCCGGCACACGCTATCGGTCCAGGTGGTCCGCGTCTTAAACAATGGACTGAGTGAAGGAACGAATCGATCGATTGATTGATTGGCGGCCGCTTCTCGGACATGCCCAGGTGGTCCGCTTCTCGGACGCGTCCTACCTCGAGGACCAGGACCAGTGGTGGCTGAGCGGAATCCACCGCGACGTGGTGCCGAGATGGGCCGAGATGGGCCGAGATGGGCTGAGATTTGGGAGGAGGCTAGCTAGCGGCTGAGCGACGGGTGGAGATGCTCCGAGATGCGCCGAGGTTCGCGCAGGCCCCGGCGCGCTCTGCCCACCCGTCGCCTCGCCTCAGGTCGTCTACTCCAAGCCGCGCGCCGCCGCCATCGCCGACTTTTACGCGACGACCTCGCTGGTCGAGGGCGGCGGCGGCGACGGTGGCAGCGGCGGCGGCGACGGTGGCGGCGGCGGCGGCGACGGTGGCAGCGGCGGCGGCGACGGTGGCAGCGGCGGCGGCGACGGTGGCAGCGGCGGCGGCGACGGTGGCAGCGGCGGCGGCGACGGTGGCAGCGGCGGGGGGGAGAGGGAGGAGGCGGGGACAGCGGCGTCGGCTATTCGGAGCGCAACGGTCGCTGTGCGGGTGGGTCTGCGCGGGGCCGTCTTCGCTGCCGCGGGCAAAGCGGCGGGCGGCACGACGGCCGGCAGCGCCACTGCGGCGGAGGCGTGCCGGCGGTACGAGATTGCAGCGTCTCTGCACGGTCCGTACCGGCTCGCGCCCGACGCGCCTCCGCCGGGGTGCGGGTGCGTGTGGCGCGGCGCGGTCTCGCTGGACGGCGCGCTGCCCGTCGGCGCCGGCGCGGGTGGGGTAGCGGCAGCAGCGGGCGTGGCGGCGGCGGGGCCGCGGGGGACGGCGGCGGGCGGGCGTGTCGATGAGGCGGCCGCGGAGGCGGCGTGGGGTGCGGGCGAGCTCGGTGTTTGGTGGCGGGCCGGCGTGGTGAGCGGCGAGGCGGAGGTGACGCTGCGCGCGGACGTGGAGGGCGCGGCGCTGTGGAGCGCCGAGAGGCCGTTTCTGTACACGCTCGTCCTCGAGCTGAGGGAGTACGGAGGAGGCGGAGGAGGCGGAGGAGGAGGCGGAGGCGGAGGCGGAGGAGGAGGAGGAGGAGGAGGAGGTGGAGGCGGAGGAGGAGGAGGAGGAGGAGGAGGAGGGGGCTACACGGTGGTCGATGTGGAGTCGTGCCGCCTCGGCCTCCGGCAGGTTGGCATGGTGGAGGCGGGCGGCGCGCGGCTGCTCGCCGTCAACGGCTTGCCGCCCTAGAAGCGGAACATCTCCCCGTATCTCCCCATATCTCCCCATATCTCGTGAGCGGGGGCAGCGGGCCCTAGAAGCGGAGTATCTCCCCGTATCTCCCCATATCTCCCCATATCTCGTGAGCGGGAGCAGCGGGCCCTAGAAGCGGAATGCGCATCCCTTTGCTCCGACCAGCGCTCGAGAGGACTCACGCCATTCCGCTGGATTCCGCCGTCTTCCGCTGTATCCACTGTGTTTGTGTCGCTCGTATTCACAGCACGCTGTGAACACTCTGCACAGTACCGCCCTCCCGCCCCGAGGGCTGGCGCATTCCGCATCTGTAGACTCGCCGCTGACCCTGCGCGGCGTCAACCGGCACGACCACTCCGCCGAGGGCGGCAAGGCGGTGGAGTGGGGTGAGATGCTCTCCGACGCCCTGACGATGAAGCGGCACAACTTCAACGCGGTGCGCACCGCGCACTACCCCAACGCCACGGCCTGGTACGAGCTGTGCGACGCGGTCGGGCTGTGGGTGGTGGACGAGGCGCGACCGCCTTAATAGCTGGCTGAGTAATCAACTACTCATTGTTTACTAGCTGTGGCTGGTGGACGAGGGGGACGTCTACCATCTCCTTAGCTACTTCACTTTCATTATTAACCTCTCTGCGGGTGGTTGACCAGGCCGAGACGCAATCAACTAATTATCAAATTCGATGAATTGATCAATTCAGGCAAACATCGAGACGCACGGCTTCCTCGCGAGCGGCGACGAGGGCATCCTCGCCAAGACGCCCTCGTGGCGGCTCGCCTTCCTCGCGCGGTTCGCGCGCATGGTGCAGCGCGACAAGAACCACCCGTGCGTCATCGTCTGGTCGCTCGGCAACGAGGCGGGCACACACAGACACACACACACGCACACACACAGACACAGAGACACACAGACACACACACACACACACACACACACACACTCACACACACACACACACACACACACACACACACACACACACACACACACACACACACACACACACACACACACACACACACACTCACACACGCACACACTCTCTCTCTCTCTCTCTCTCTCTCTCCCTCTCTCTCTCTCTCTCTCTCTCTCCATATATATATATACACACACACACACACACACACACACACACACACACACACA